CTGGAGGATCCTGAATTAAAGAACTGTCTTGTTCCCTCTGTAGTTCACTTCAGTCATCGCCAACAGGAGTTTCTGAATCTTCAGTCTCCTTATGCTTATAACCAATTTTTGTGGTTTGGCAAAGTTTTAGAAGTAAAAACGGTTATCAGAGAGGGCTTTATTCTACTAGGATTTGCGTGAACCCTGCAGTTTCCTCTGCCTCTTGTGTTGCAAATGGTGTGGTTTGGGTCTCAAACTTTCTGTGCAGGGCTGTGCAGTGCAGCCAGGTGGGGACTGCTGCTGCCTTCAGTCCTAGGGTGTAGTAGAGAGGATATCTTTTGGAATTGGATATTATTCTCCCTTTCCTCCATGAAAACCCAATTGCAAGAACATAAAATGGACATCTTTAGGCTGTTTGTAGTCACATTCAAGGCTTATCCCAGAAATGTCCTCTTACTGTTCGTTAGAGAAGCGATTACCAGGAACCTGTAGCCTTTCTTTAATTGCTTGAGATAATACACCTTCATGAACCTTGTCCCTGGAACAAAAACCATCTGGGAAGCTTCATCTATTACAGACTAACGTCAAGGAAAATCTTTCCTGGAAAGACTTATGAAACCTGCTCCATTGAGATTTTGTCCTGAGAGAATCAAAGCAGCATCCGTCTTAGCAAGTGTGTTCCTCAGTTAATCTTACTGGATAATGCTTCTTTTTATTTAAGAGATGATGATGATGACGATTGAGACTCTGCAAAGATGGAAGAGGAAAACTAGTAGACCTCTAGCCTGTTGTTTTCACTGTGAGAAATTCCCTTTGGTGTGTGTGTCGCATATAGTCCCTCTTCATTAATTCAGGAATTTAGTTTTCATTCCAGCTCCAGCTGATTCCATCAGACAACCATGTTTTTTTCTAGTATTTATTCTGTTTTGGTTCATATCCAAAAAAAAATTAAAAGTTCCCGTTTAAAGAAAATACCCTTTTCCTTGAAGATACTACCTTTTAAAAGGCTCCCCCCAAGAAGTATGTGCTAATCTGCGTAGACCTGAATAATTCAGTATCAGATCCTGTATTTCTTCAAAGCTCTCAGACCTTTCCAAGATGAAAGAAAACTTTCTCCAAGGGACATCTACTCCATAGTATTTTTCTGACTTGATATAGCAGGAGCAGTTCTTTCATAGAGTAAATTTGCCAAAAATATGCAAAGTCATTTATACAGCTTCTTTGCATTTTTAAACAGAAATAGTCAAATATGTGATTTTTTTTTTTAAAGATATGATTTGTCCGTTTTTTGGGATAGTATGATTACCATTAATCACCAAGGTTACTCAAATGAATTTATTCCGAATAGTCACAAAACTCAGTGCAAGTTAGTGAAGTACAACATAAAAATCATGCAGCAAACAGTGTTTCAGGATTTATTTATTTTTTTTCCATTCCACTACAGGACCTCTTCCAGATATATGGAATACTAGTACAGTATTTATAGCTTATCAACTTCATTCATTCCACACTTTTTTCTGGATTGAATTTGTCAGATTCTCTAAAATGCCTATCCTATTTTAAATATCCTACAATGCCTAGGTTCTTTAAAGTTCCTTCCTCCTATGTCCTTTCCTTTCCTCTTCATCTTTGCCCTAATTTGTATACTTTTAGTATGATTTGAAAGCACCTAGGCAGCAATGACATAGCTTTTCATGCTAGAGAGAACAAAGTAAATGCAGTGAGTTGCTAATGTAGGTCACTTCTCCATTTGTACAGTTATTTTGTGTGTCAAAGCATATATAACTTCAGGGTCAGGCTTTCCTTTCTTTCAGCTAACGTGATCCCTCTTCCATACGTTCTTTTCTAAGCATTCATGAGAGCTTAAGCACTGTTGCCTGCTTCTGGCAACTCAGCTTCTTAGAAAGCAAGCCAGTGAATTTTTTTTTAGCAAGATTTATGATGTCAGATTGGAACTGTTTATGGAGTTCAGTTTCTTTTGCATGTGTGGTGCCACCTTTTAGGAAAGCTGCAAGGCGTCTTTTTAAATTCTAATTATACTGATTTTTCAGGCAAGCCTTACGTCTTCAGGACGTTAACAAAATCGCCCTGTATGGAAAATTCGGGAAGCTCCTATCTCCACGCCTCTGTGACTTTGCCCCCAGAATTGGCCCTGGCTACATGCAAGATCATTTTCACATCTGGAGTTTTGGTGTTTGAAGTGGCTGTTGATAATTGTGAAAAATGCTAGTGGCTTCCACTCAAAGGTCTGTCCCACCCAAAGTCTTTCAGATTTAGGTTGGCGTGTCTGGGAATGTCACATAACTCGAGAGCGCTGTAGAAATCAAGGAAAACACTGATTTGCGGTTATAAAGCAATGTAGAATTCTGTAGAGATAATCTTACGCTATAATATTTCCACACCCTGCACTGTTGCACTAAATAAAGAGCGTGCGTATTTTTATTCTCTTTGGGGTAGATCTGTATTGCAGTGTCCTGTTTGGGGCTTCCAGAGAAAAGAGGAGATGGGGCATACATTTGGTAGAGACTGTGCTGAAATGTGTATGTGCGTGTATCTTATTAAAATACATCTTTTTGGTTTCATCTCTGTTGGAAAGGAAAAGACCAAAAAAGCATTGCGCTTGGAAATATGATCCTTATTTCCTGGAAGAGTTCATATCCGAGCATAAGATGTTCCCATTCATCAGTCTTGCTGCTACTTGCATGCACATTTTTACCCTTCTTGTCACTCAGTGCACAGCATCAGATGAGCAAATGCCCTTTCAGGTCAATGAATTTAGTTTTGCCTGAATGCCTCTCAGTGTCCTTGTCTGCTGAGGAGTTGCCCCCTCCCTTTGTTTGGAGCTACAGCTGTGTGTTTTGTGAAACACATGGCTAGGAGTTGTCTGTGGGTCCTCCCAGGAAATCCTCCTTGCCTGTCTAAGCTGAATTCTCTCCGATTCTATAAGCAGTCTTTAAATAAAACTATTTTCCCTGTGTAGATGCTCTTGTTCTGAGCAGCTTCGGGAACTGAACCAGTTTCCTGAGTTTTGGCTCTATGACAAATGTAGTCCTTGCCTCTTAGGAAAGTTTCTAAAGAAAACTTTCCTTCCAAACTTGCAAAACTTTGAAGGAGAGGAGGGGAAGGATGCGCTTCCTTTTAAACAGGTTCTGTTTATTCCAAGGAAACCTTAAAACATAATACAAAAGGGTAGGACAGCAGTGTAAGTTGCTTCTAATTTTTCAAGAAGTTTATCTAATCCAAGAAACTTTGAAGGTTTTGAAAATGGCTTTTGTCCTGAAGTGGGATGAAAATAATATTTGCAGATGTGAAATTCCATGATATTTTAGAAGTGGGAAGCTTTGAATACACTGCCGTCCTGGCAGGCGTGCTGCTTGGTGGCCAGTACTCTTGAAACGACTGCTAACCAGCCAGCAGGCTGCTGCAGAGCATGGGAGCTGGAGCAGCCAGCCAGAAACCTAGCACAGAAAAAGCACCTTTTTGGTCCTATGAAACATCCCCTTTTCTGCCAGCTGGGCAAAACTGGCATTTTCAGACCCAAGAGAAAAAATCTACGAGTTCTGACTGTAACCCTTAGCTTTTAGAGTGGGTGGGATTTAAATCCTAAGCAGTGATCAGAAGGTAGGAGTTATGTGATCATTCATTTTGTATAACTTGTCAGTGAAGTCTGTCATCCAAGCAACGATTGTCTGAAAAATTGGGAGGTTATTTCCTCTTTTTCTCTTTTTTCTTCTGCTGTTTATTTAAAAGGTTGCTTGGTTGCTAGGTTTTTTGTCCTTTGCAGCTCTGTTTGAAATCATAGAAAGAGATATCAAGTTTCCTTCATAATATCTGGCGATGGCTTTTTAGTTGCATGGATTCACTGAATAGTGGCACTTGACCTGACTCCTTAGAGCACTTGTGCAACTTTCTCGTAACAAAATGAAAATGTTCACAAATACCAGAATATATGACAGAATACTTCTTTATCAAATGGTAAGATAGACTGCTAGCATAATGTTTTAGATTGTTTCCCGATTGTGACAGCACAGTCTTGCTCGTGAGTTAATAACATACTGATCTGTATGCCAGGAGATTTGTGGCAATGCAAGACTAGCATGATTGTAGGGTTCCTATGTGTGAGATGAACCTGAGCTTGGACTAGAGGAACCCTTTCTCTGTACTCTGGCCTCTTCAGTACTCTCCGTAGACCAAAAGAATACCAAGCAACTGAATGTAAACAGATAGCGGTGAGAATTTTTTGAACTTTCTTTGGAATTTTTATATGTAGGTAGAATTGAATGGTGCTCTCGAGACAAATGCTAACTGAACAGAAAGTCCTAGTGCCATATGGGCCTGCTTATTCCCTGAAAAGATTTCCAGAATCCTCTCAAAACTTACTCACCCCTACAGAGCAATGTGTAACTGTGTTTTATGTCGTATACAGCTGCTAATTTACATGTATAGAAAACAGCATGCAGAGTCCGGGCATGAGAAGTACACCTTTATAGAAGTAAACCACAGGTATACGTTGTAGATGCTTCCAGGTTAGCTTTAATCTACTTTTATCTTCTGAACATTGAAGTATGAAAGGAATCCATTTCTAATAATTAAGCTCATTGGAGGGCTGTTGTTAATGGCTATTAAAACAGTCTCTGTTATGGTCTGACCCTTAATTGGCCATATGCAGTGAGCTGCCATCTATGAAGATGTTCGGCAGTACTGTTTTATAACACTTTAATTAGAGTGGAATCTTATTCCTGTGGAAGTATTGCTAAATCTGGAAGAGTCATGAATTTCATGAAAACGTCTGAGAATTAAATTTTTGACAGTTGACTTGGAGCATGAACTGAGTTGTCACCAAGAGTAGTAAAGTTTTGTTAAATGTTCCGTTCTCAACCCTGTATTAATTTATTAGCTGTGCAGATTGACTTCACTTAAGTTGTCTCAATGCGTGATAGGTTATACTGTGCTCTTGCTTGTCATGTGAGTCTGAAGTATATGTAAACAATTTGCCTTTTTTTTTTTCTTCTCCTTTCTAGGTTCTGGGAACGCCTACAAGGGAGCAAATTAGAGAAATGAATCCAAACTATACTGAATTCAAATTCCCTCAGATTAAGGCACATCCATGGACTAAGGTGAGTCTGTATAAATTGGATAATAAAGACACGTGGGCTGAAAGTAAAAATTCAGGGATTAAGTTTGATTGTTTAGTCTCTTGGTGGCTTTCAGTCTAAGCTGGGTGCCTTTAATTAAACTGTGGACCCAATAACTCTTGGTATAGGTAAGGAGAGAGAAGGTATTGCAGCAGTGCACTCTTGGTCTACTTTTTTGATGTTTTCTAGCGTTCTTTTTGCTTTGTTTAATTTTTTTTAAACAAATGGTGTTGTGTAGTAAATTGCAATATACCTAAATCCTATCATGACACAACTCTCTGTGCACAAAAATCACCTACAACTTAGAAAGCGTTCCATTGATGTGCGTGACACTTTTATAACACTATTACATAACGTGACAGTGATGGTTGACAGTCACTTTGCTAACTAGTTCTCTCATAAATATAATTATACGTGCAGTGTAATATGTGTGCTGTTGGGGGTTGGGGGGGGTCATTTTTCTTGGGGTTACTTTAAGATTGTTCTTGTCATCTACCTTTCAAAAGAAGACACTGTTGCAGCAAATACTGGCTATATGATAACACGATCACAAAGGAAACTGCCAGTGTTAAAATAAGTATATTGCCACACAGTTAAGCTATCCTCCACACATGGAGGAATGAAAGATATTTGACTTGGGAAAGGGTAACAACTGATCATTTAATTAGCCTCTTGGGAGTGAAATAAGTTAAATATTGAGTCTTGAGTAATTGAAACATGGGTAGTTAATTTTCGTTTTGCTGCTTGAGAAACGTCTGATATAGTCACAGTATATTCTTATCGTATCTTAATGTCTCAGATTTTCTTCTGCCAAGAATGTAGAGCGTATGCATGAAAGTGTTGCATTCCTAGTCTTGCACGTGTCCAGTTCAGACATTTTGGGACCAAATACTCTATGGTGGTAGAAATTCTGGATAGATGACATAGAGCTAATTCAAGGTCTTTGAGAGAGCAGGCCAAGAACCTGCTAGGTACCTGCCCGGCCAGATACTGGGAGTCTCCATTTTTGTGATAGATTCTCCAGTGAGCTATCTAACCCTTTGTTTTCCTTTTCCCTAATAATCCCTGGTTTCTGTATCTGAGTGTCTAACTATGGGGTAGTTGGTATGTTAAGTGCTTTGTAGTAGTCTGAGAGGTCAGTAAATCCAGTAAAGCTGCTTGATATCTTACATTAATGGGGAGGGGGAAGGTAGGGCCAATCCCTGGCAGTTGGTCTCTTCTATTTCAAGTCGTATCATGGTAGAAGCCACAAGAATAGGCCCAAAGCCTTATAGCAGTGAATTCTAGCGTTGCATCTGGATTCCTTCAGTAATGCTAAATTAGCAAATTGGATTATCCAGTATGGTCTTGGTCATGTTGCTCATTCTCTCAGTGTGTTCCTTCTAAAAATTCTTTTCTTTCAACATTTTGGTAGTAAGCCATGAAAGATGTAAGTAAATGGCAGTAATATATAGAACTGATCTTCCTTACCCAGCTGTATTGATACAATATCTGATGGCATAGAAGTGGGAATGTGCATCATCTTGGAGTTTCTGTAGCTTAGAATTGAAAAGAATGAGTAGAAGCTTGGGAGAAAAAGTGCTTTTAAAGTGTGGTTGTAGAGGTGCAGTCTAATGAGCAGAAAAGGATAAAGTGTGGTTGTAGAGGTGCAGTCTAATGAGCAGAAAAGGAATGGCGAAAAGGTTGGAAGTGCAAATGTTTTTTGTTATAACAACGCATGCAACTAGAGTGCTACAGGTAGTTGCCAGCAGGACTTGAACTCTAGAAGTTTCAGTCTCAAAAGCACAAATTTTTGTCATGTAAGCTAATGCATTACTGAACATTGCAGTAGTTAGAAGGCTTTGTGGTTTTTTTTGTTTTTTTGTTTTTGTTTTGTGGACTAGTTATAAGCAGAGGACCCAGCAGACAATTGGAAGGTAGTTTTTTGCATGAAAAACTTGCAGGTGACTAGCTCTCAACATGTTTTGAGAAAAGATTGTTGTGAATATTAGTCACTCCCTGCTGTCAGCTCTTTGACACGAGGGCATTCTCCTTGTTCTCTTCCGTGGTGTTTAAGGCAGTGTGGGTGTCTTCCAGCACGGAAGTTTATAGGTGCTGCTTGGGATTAACTGTTTCATACAGCGAAGATGTCCGGTGAAGGTGCGTGTTCAGCTTCTAGTTAGGAGCTTAGCCTGCTTTATGCAATATGAAAGATTGCATCCCATCCAGTAATCTTCTATACAAAAGTAAGGTCCATGGTTAGCTGTTGTGTTCAGGGAACTTTACTGGTCTGCAAAGGTACGTGTAGATTGCAATCAAGGATTTTCTTTAGAAGCTGTAGTCCCTGTGGGTTCTACCTGAAATTCTGGGATATGGACTTGTTGTTGGATGTACCTGGTTCTGCTCTGCTCCCTGGGTGTTTCTCGGAGGCATAGATGGGTTGTTTCCTTCTGAGTATCCCTGCAATACTGTGAATTGTTTTCCCTTGTCTGCTAGATGAAGAAGAATGGTTGCTAGTGCTGTAGGCCTCTCTTTTCAAAGATTTGGAGAAATTGCTTGAGATTGTACAAGGATGAGTCCGTCCAGGTATATTATTTCTCAGATTCCTTGAATTTCAGGCTTAAATTGGGATTCTGAGCACAAGGTTTGTTAAAACTTGAGGTCTGCCTTCATAGATGTAGCTTAGAGTTTTCAAAAGAAATGCATTGATGTCACCTGTATACAGTATTGATATTTAATATGATGAAGTAGTGTGATGAAAGACATCTCAGCTTAACAAGGGCCTGTCTTCTTAGGTTGGGAGAGAATGCAAGATAACACTAAAAATATTTTTGTGCTGCAGCAGTAATGTGAGATTACACTGTGGATTGATTGTGTTCTCAGTCTGCTATTTCAATTCATTGGCAGTTTGAGTGTAAAGTACTGTTGCAACTCAAGAGCCTGAATCTCTCAGCATAAAACATGCAGAGGCCTCGCTCTCCAGTGTAGTCTTGAGTTGTCGAAGCACGTGCATGTGTTCCTGCGCATGATAGAGGTAGTGACTGCAATTCAGTGCATCTCTCACTAGCAAAAGAAAAGAAAACCTAAACTTTCTGGGAATGTTTCTTCCAAACAGGACTTTCCCCCGTCCTTCTCCTCCATGAGTAGATTTTTTTTTTTTTTCGGCTTTTTTCCAGCATTTTTCTTCATAGTACAGGAGTGTTTAATCTAGTAATTTAGCTGTTCTTTTTGATTAGATTTCCTTTTGCTTCTGCTGAATATAGAAGAGTTTGTATTCATGGAGATGCATCCCACTGCTTGTCTGCCTTGTTCTGTGAGTGGCACTAAGTTATAAGGATAGCAAGGTTTTGAAGGGATGGTAATATCTTTCAAGGGCCCAAGTGATACAATTGGGAAAAACGGACAGGCTTTTGGATACACAATCGTGTCTTCAGGTTTAGCCTGCCTACCCTTCTTTACCATCTGTATCAGCTGGGCCAATAATAGTTACTACCCTCTTTAGAGGCTTTGCTGCTGTTTTTACAAGATTAGAACTTTGCTTCTAGGTCTTTCAGACACTTCAACTCCTTGAGCCTTCTTATTCACTGAAAGTGCACAGTCTGATGTCTGCTGCTAATCTTCAAACTTGTTTCTCTTCTTCTGACTAAGCTTCATCTATATATTATAATCATGAGAATAGAAAGCCAAAGAAAATCTGAGAGAAATGTAAGATTGTACTTCATAGGGTTGTTGAAGTTCAGCTTTGGTGGTTAGCTTTCTCTTAAACTTTTGGCCCTTGTGGAGGGGATTGGGGCAGTGGGGTGGGGGAAGGAAGTGGTAAATGCATACTTCATAAAGTTACGTTATATTGGCATTGGTTATCATGGTCCCATTACAGCTGGCCTATATCTAGGCATTACTCAGATGCTTCAAATTTCAAACCCTTTGGGCTGTTAAAAAAAAAAAAAAAAAGACCTTGTCGCAATTATTTTGAGGATAATTGCACAGAAAGATGTCTGTCTGTCCATGGCATGCCACTTCTTTCTCCTCCCCCCGCCACCCTGCTAATATAGGATCTCATCTGAGTAACACTGCAGTAAATGTAATGTAATTACATAGTTCAGGCCCCTTCTGCATGACAGAGATGACTAGTTTGGACCCTGGATATATTTTTTCTACCCTTCCACTTGTTTGTCACGAATGGGCACTATAATAAACTGCCTTATCTACTGAGCCACAAGCACGCCCGTGGTTCGTGATGGCAGAACAGCTCAGCAGGTCGTATCAGCCAAGGCTGTTCCCGTTAGTGAAATCACTAACCTCTCTGCCTTGTCTCCGCTGTGTAGATAGGGAAGTAACTTCTATCATGCAGAGCTCTCAAAAACATGCAGTGTGCCTCTTCTAGTGTGCCACAGTTTAGTGGCCCTCATACTTCTCATGTCCTGATGATACAGGCAAGGTTGTTCACGCTTCCTTTCTCTGTGGAGTTTTTCCATCTCAGTAACGTCACAGCAGAACAGGGCAGGGTCCCTTCCAACTTTCCAAAGTACTCACTGTCTTTCATAATTTGTGCAGTGGGATGTGTTTTTCTGTCCGTGTCCTCAAGCCTGGTTATTGTAGCAGAGGGAAACAGTGCTGAAGATGAAATTTCAGACTCTAGCTCATGTCCCTTCTGGCACTTTTCCAAAGCAGTTGGCCACTCCTGGTTACAGGTTGAGGGTTGTGGGGAACCACAGTCAGGTATTAGAGTAGCTTTGGATGTTGTCTTTGGGATTCATTTTTTCAAGAAATACAGTGGAGAATTAATATTATAAAATATTTTGCAAATACTTTAGGCTGAGTTATCTTGTGTGTGTGTATATGTACATTTTGTATATGTTTCACCATGCTAATCACTTGTCCTTGAGTGTTGTATTTTTTCTTTAATAGTGACAGGTAGTCTTACCTTCTTCCTCGCGCTCTGGGCCTGGGACATAGTGAATCTGATCTCTCTCGTGAGCATTTTTTGCACCCTTCAGAATCAGTTTTGTGTCTTCATCCCATCTTACTCCTGCTCTCTTGGTTCTTTTCTGGGATTTAAGCAGATTGTTTTGCTTGTAATGCTTCCAAGTGACTGCTCGTACTGTAGATTTAAGGAAGAATACCGAACAGTAAAATGGATAGATAGACAACTAATTTTGTCACTTCTAATTATAGCTGATGACAAAAGAAAATGAAAATTCTTTCGTCAGAAATCTAATCAGTGTACTTACATTAGAATTAAAAATGCAAACTCTTCTATTCTTTCTGAGTTTGAGGCCTGACCTTTTGTAGGGTCAGTGGAGTCGCAGAGGTGCAGTGGAGACTGGATACTTCTTTGGGTGCAGTTTTGTAATTGGCTTAAATTCGTCATGAAGTGGGGTCTGCCCTCCTGCTCCCAGCTGCCTGTTTCTGTTGCCTCCTTTGTGCATTAACATTTGTATTGTTGCAAAAGTCTCCTGAAGAACCCTAATATTCAGGATCTGGATCAACTTTCTTACCTGACTGACCGTTCAGCCCCAACTGCAAGAGTTAGGACAAAAGAACAGGGCAGATCTGCATGGTCAGAGGAAGGCAGAGGTGTCTTTCCCAGCATGGGGTGCAGGTGATTTATGCCGATTGTGAAACTGTGCGCTTACGTCTTTCTGAAGAGCACGGCCATCCTGTTTTTCAGTTGGTGTGTAATGACTTTTCAAGCAAAGAATGAAAACAGCTCTTCTGGAGACTAACTTTAAAAAAAAATAAATAAATAAAAACTGGCAAGTTCAAGTTCCCCAGCTCCTTTTCTAGGAAAAATGATTTTTGACAGAGCAAATCTCTTATCGCCACATAACGCATGAGAACTGAAGCCAGGCTTGTCAGGTGATAAATGACCTGCCTTTATCCGATTTGAATGCAGTAAAGAAAGTAGTGCTCAACAATAAATAAGTGAGCATTCCTGTAATATTAAGACATGATTTGCATCAGTGCAAATAGGAAAATCAAATGATAACTTTGACATGTCTTCTGTAACCTAGTAACATCTTCTGTAACATCTGTTTTGTCATCGCACTGCAACATATCTGTTCAAGCTGTTGAGAGTGGCTGTCCTGTCGAGGCTTAGATCATTTGCAGAGGCAGATTTTTGGGTTCCCTCCGAGAAGAAAGGGAGTTGTTTTGTTCTGCTTAGCTTTGTCCTTCAGAGCTTCATAGATGCAGAGCATGCACAGGGTAACAAATTTTTGTTCATTCTGTTTTCACCGAGTCCTCAATGGAAGTAGCCCGGTAACAAGTGTGTGGTCTCAACAAGACGTAGCTTTGGAGACAGGTTTCTGGTTCTGTTCCCAGTTCAGTGTTGGCTCATTTGTGAGCCACTTAACCCTTCTGTCTTTTTTTCATTTTCCTTATCTGTGTAAATGCCACCTGCCAGGGGATTTTTATGACTGGGAAAGCATTTGCTATTTCTGTGATGCTTTTTAGAAAAATGTAGGGGGATTTAATCAGAGAAGGAAATGAGGGTTTTATATATGTCTTAAAATTACTCCCAATAACAGTGCCTCTCTGTTTTTAATCTCTTCATTTGTATCATGTGAGCTTTATGTACTTCAAAATGGCAAAATAAAGTACTTCAGAAAACCCGTTTTGAAGTTCTCAACCTCTTGAAACAAGATTTATTCTAAGGGCAGAGCTTCAGCCTTAGCTTCGTGTTGCTGTGTGTCAGGTGAAGCTCAGTACTAACATTACTGTCTTGCATGTATTTCTTCATTTTCCTTTTTTGTTTCTGAACGTGTCTTGTTTACCATAAGGCTTATTATGTTAAACTTGCGTGACTGAAATATTGCTTCATGTCCTAAAGTTGTGGTAGTTGTGTGATCGTGTTTTAAAAGAATTGATTAAAGGGTCATGTCCTACATCTGACAACTTTGATCACCTGTAAGCAGTGCGAGCTTTTGGTGGAAGGGAAGAGCTTTCTCTGTTACCTAATATTGAAGTATTTCCAAAGAGACTTGATCACCCTCCTTCCCAGTCTGGGGCATGTGCCGTCAAAAACGCGCTTACAAACTGAAAGGAGATGTGCCCAGACTGTCAGCCTGAGTCGGTGGTGTGGGTGGTTCCTGGCAAAATACAAGTCTCTGAAGCTGATGAGGAAATTTTTAACTGCGGTGTCATAAACTTGATGTGTTAGCAACAGATGTCATTTTAATAAGCCTCTGCTCTCTTAGAGAGTGCAGCATGCTAACAGCATTCGCAGCCTGCACGGGAAACGCACAGCAGTGGATAGCATGAAGTAATGTCTTTTAATACATACCGGCTAGAAGAGCACCTTGGTGCAACATTGTGAAGCTTTGGCTTTGGTGCGTAATTAGACCAAGAAGACAGCTCTCCGTGTTGTGCATGAAAAGTCTGGTTTAAGAATGGCCGTGAATGAAAGTCAGACCAACCATTCTGCTGAAACAATACTTAGCCCTTACCCCGTGTGGTTTCATTTGAGAGCTGAATGCTGATGTGAGCATAGCGAAATAAGAGTATCCTGGGCTTTCCGTCCTTTTTCTTTCATCTTTCGGTGCAGAAAAATTTTCAAATTCGGAAAGGCCAATAGAAACTTTTTGAAATTAGGAAGATAAAAATGCATATGCTCTGCTTGTGTACCAAGACTTCATCTAAATTCAGGTCATTGGGGGATGGGAGGAGAGTGGCATACCAGAGGCGTTTAAACCTGGCAGTCATTTTCAAAAATGTTGATGGCAGAGTGGTAGGTCCTGAAAAATGAGGAGAGACTCGCATTAAAAAAAAAGTCACACTGACAGCAGCGTGACATAGAAAGGAGAGAGACAGCGTGTTTGGCCTTGCCATCTAGCTGCTACGGTCTGTTAGCGTTCGAGCATCACCGGCATGCCTGAACACAGAAATGACTCGCACCGGTCCCTCAGCTTTGTGGTGAGGTATAGATTCATTGGGATCTAAGGGGCAGAATAACGAAGAAGAAGTTTGGGGGGGGGGGGGGGGAAATGTGGTTTTGGATGAGTCAGCATTTCCATTTTACATGATCATTCAGAGATTTGACACTCATCCAAAAACCAGCAACCTGGGTCTCAGCCTGAAATTCATTTGCTTTGCAGAAACAAGAGTTTTTGAGTTACGCAAGTGCAAATTTTCCTTGAAGAATATTGGATGTAAAGACTTTTTTTTTTGCATTTGTTTATCTCCAAAACAAGTTCATTTTTTAAAATGAAAACTTGAGCCTTCAATCCCTCGTGCGGGCCAATAGCCTTACAAAAGGTCTTGTTTCATTTTAGAAAAATGAATTGCTGCGCAGGTGGGGTAGTATTTGATTGCTTTAAAAGTTCCTGTCAGTGTTTTATTTTTGTTTTTGTTTGTGGACTTGCTGTGCATTTTGCCCGGCCATATTTAGTCTGCATACTAAACGTTAGTCTGCCCAAATACTTTACTTTGTGCACTTAGCTTTTTTTCCTTTTTTTTCTCCTTTCTCCTTTTTTTTTTCTTTCTTTTTTTTTTTCTTTTTGCTTTCGCCTAGATGTATTTTAGATTGAGATAGACTTCTCTCCGATGGGCCGGATTTTAGTCCGTGCACTAAATTTTAGTCCGCAGACTAAAAAGAATCCGCGGATTATTGACTAAAATCGATTCCCTCACTGAGAACTACACTGCGGACGAAACTCTCGCTGACGCATAAAATCGAGGCGAGGGGGGGGGGGCCTTGTGCTGCAGTGGCGGCGTGCAAGCTGTCATGCCCTTCACCTGCGACTGTGACCGTCCCTTGCTCTTGATGTCTGAGTGCTGCAGCCTCTTGTGTAGTTCTCGGTGGGTGAATTGGGCAGAATTTCTGGTGGAACTGTGTTGAATTAGAAGAGCTGAAAGACGCAGGGTTTTTGCTTTGATTTTTTTTCTTTTCTTTTCTTTTTTTTTTTTTTGCGTTATTGAAAAGCGGGATGGGGGGAGGCAAATTGAGAGGAAAAATTCTTAAGTCACGGGTGCGACGGTATGACGGGGACAAACCCACGCTAGAGAGAAATTAAGGCCATACCCGCACTCCTGAGGTGGTATGTCCAGTTCCTGAAGCATCCTAAAGAGATCACGTCAGCCAACAAAATCCATTGGTGGGGAAGTCAATCCAAAATGGAGAATAATCCGCGGCGGCCTGATGCACTCATAGCTCACGCAAATTAAAAACAGCCAAATTCAAAATACGGATTTTTATTTTCTCTTCAGCACAAATTATAAATTGGTAAGGGTTTGGATTTTTTTGGAAAAAAACGTTTGCATTGTGTCTCTGGGAAAGATTTACAAGTGGGATGCACCTATGGAGACGAGCTGATTTGGCCCCGGTGTCTATGGACATTTATATCCAGGACCAAGGACTGAAAATTCTTTATGATGGGGATTTCAATTACCCTTTTAGTTCAAGTTAGAGTTTTAATTTCAATTTTTTTTATTTTTTTAGTAAATGCACTGGCATTGGAACATAAATTTAATATAGAGATGTTTCTATACTATGCCTCACCATTGCACAATCAATTTTTTGGCATACACTGTGGTGAAGTTGGACTTGCTGCTATGGAGACTGATGTTTAAAGTTTCTAATTGTATAAACATTTTCTATGTCCCCCACACCATGGATTTCTTATAATATTGGATATATTTTTCCTTGCTGGACTATTCTCTTTTGGATTGACTCCCCCTGTTTGGATTATTTCACTGCATTATCATCTTTAGGACTCGTCAGGAACAGGACATTTCACCTCAGGAGTACGGGTATGTACTTAAACGTTTTTTCAAACTATTAGGCCTAGTCTTGGCAAAAAAAAAAAAAAAAAGGGAGAGAGAAATGCTAGAAGTGGAAAACCGGAGTCCAGATAGCATCCTTGAGGCAGCGGCCAGGGGAATGTTTTAACACAAGGTGGTCAAGATTAGACAGGCATAGATCTGCAACTCGCTTCATGTTTTAATCGCCACTTATCGCGGGGGGAGGATGCGTGAGGGTTTCTTTTTTCTTTCTTTCTTTTTTTTTTTTTCTTTCTTCCCCCTTTTCCTTCCCCGGCTCTGAAACAGTGAGGGTGGACTAGAGTAAGTGCCTACTTCCAGCCACTGATTGCTGAGTCCAGCTGCAGGGTGAGCAGGTTTCAAACGGAGTTTAAGAAACGGATGTTGGGGTTTCACTGAGGTGAAAATGAAGTTTTTTTTTTTTTTAACCGAGTGGACCAACAAGGGTCCTTTTACAGATAGCAGATCTGTGACACTGCCTAATAATTTACTTAAGATGAGCAGTTGTTGTCTTTGCCTTGGGGGGAAGGGGGGGCTGTTTTTTGTTTGTTTGTTTTTTGTCTGCATGGTAACTGATAAACGTGAGCTGTCCTGAGAGTGGGGGGAAACAACACAGCTAAGAGTAAAATATTTTTGTTTCACGCTGTGGTAAATCAAGCCTGGTCAAGCATCAGTGAAGAAGGTAAAAGGGAAAGACCTCAATAGTTTTACCTCAGGGTAAAAACTCAAGCTACTTCACTCCTGTGTTTTTTGCCCCAAGACACGTGCAGTTATGCTAGTTACCACTAGGTCAAAATTTCAGGGTGTTTTTTAGCATTGGGGATAGCCTTTCCTTTTGTTACGGTCAGGCTGCGACTTGGGAGTCGGGCGCTTGGGTCCCCCTTGCGCTGTGGTCAGTAATCCGGACTCTGGAGGCGATGGGTCTCGACACCGCAGAGAAGAGCGGCTTTGGCCGCCCCTCCGCCTAGAAGCGTGTCCTCTTTGCTTTCGTGCCTGCGGGCCTCGTGCTAAACCTCTTGCTGGGTTTCGTTTCGCAGCAAGCCGGTTTGAGAGAGCAAGGCTGCTCCCTCGGTGCTGGGCTCGTTGGCTCCACGAGTCGGGATTCGCTGCCATGCGAGTTAGTGCAGAACGCCTTAGACCTAACTCAGGGGCCCCCGAGCCAGCTGGGCACCAAGGGGAGAAAACTGCCGTTTCTAGAAAACGTAGCCTTGGTGTTTGATCTTCGCTCATGACAGCATATGTGTCTTTTGGTTTAAAACCTACTTACACGGTGCCTGTGCAAGTTCCTAGTCTGCAGTTAGTTAGCATGTTGTGCACTAACTTTGCTCCTTGGTGCTGTGTGGTTTGGGTTCACCTGCATTGGTATGAAAGCATTTTGGATTGGCTCAATTTTTGTCAAAAATGCTGGCATCAGATTTTAACACTCTCACCCACCCTGCTCCCTTCTCCCCCAGCCTGTATTTCACCTGTAACGTAGTGAGAGATCAGTGCTCGGAGAGGCCACCTAGGTCACGTACATGATGAACTTGCATTTTGCTTTTGACATATTGAGAGAGGAAGATTGGGATGGGGGGGGTGATTTGGGGTGTATAGAGCTGTTCTTGGAGGTTTGAAATTCAGCTCAGCGAGGAACTGCTGTGAACTCTGTTTTGCAATCGCTCAAGGTAAAAAATAAATAAATAAATCTGCTAGAGGGAAACAGTTGGTTCTCTTGACACAACTTTCAGTTGTCCTTACAAATACCAAATGTGCAGGAGTTATCTCAATAAATTTATGGGAATGACTTGCCAGAATAAGGTCAAGGAAGGAGTAACTTGCAAATTAGAGCCAGACGTTTCCTGCACCCCACCCTTGCTTTCCTTGTTGTTCTCCAAAGTTGAGCAGCAGCCTCCATAGCAACAATCTGACCTGCCTGCCTGCAAAAGTCAGTGGTTAGTAAGGCTTCATCCACTAGGAAAAAAGAACATATGTGTGCATATATATATATATATATAGTGGGGCCCTATTCAGTTTTTACATCCAGTGAATCCTGCTCATTTGAACCTTTCTCCCCCCACCTCACTCCACCCCATATGCATGGCTGATAGCACCTGTGTGTGTTTGTTATGATTTTTGAATGAGTTTCCCCTTTTGTTCTTCAAGTTGTTTTTCTGAGTGCGCTCTCATGAAGTCTTCTTGCTGGCATTGCACCTTCACTTGAGTGCAAGACTTTGCAATTAACCCTTTCTCGACCCTAGGAGCTGGATTTTTCCCATCCTCCCTGGAGACCTTTGATTGCAAACATCAGGTTGTTCCTACTTGTTGGTCAGTGAGAGGTTTAATTGCTCTGACTTGCTTCTGGTTGGCAAAGAAAAGAAACGTACCCAGACAACCTGTTTCTCCTTGCTTGTTTTTTTAGGTCTTCCGGCCCCGCACTCCACCAGAAGCAATTGCGCTATGTAGCCGTCTGTTGGAGTACACCCCCACTGCCCGCCTGACTCCCCTGGAGGCGTGTGCACTCTCTTTCTTCGATGAACTACGGGACCCAAACGTCAAGTTACCAAATGGGCGAGAGAAACCTGCACTCTTCAATTTCACCACTCAAGGTAGTCTGTGAGCGTTGAAGATCCCTTCTTTGGGAAGAAGCACTGTGATGATGAATGTTCTCTGTAATGTGGGTGTCATTCCCTCAAAAATAAAAAACTCCAAGCAGGACTAAGGGTATTAAACAGTTGTGAAACCAGCCATCCAGCTCAAAAAGAGATGGGAAGGGGGACTTGGAGAAATGAGCTAGGGGATTTCCAGATATGTAGTGCCTTTGATTTGAATTTAGTCTGGGTGACTGAAGGTTGTTACTGTCTGATTGCATGAAGAGTTTACATTTGCAATTTAGTGTTTGAGAGCCAGTTGATGGTTTTGTGTGAAAAACCACAGTCAATGGACCGTGGAGACTATTTGATCATTTTAAAGATGATCCTGCACCTTGATAGCCGAAACGCCATAGCAAGGAGTAATGCACACCAGATTTGGCAGAGAAGTTTTTGGTGTTGCTGTCCATTTTGGTTCTGGAAGTGAGATAAATACGGGGGCCTCACTGTCCAGACTTTATGCACTGCACAGTTCAGCTGGCGTTATATTGACTCAGTAATTTAGAAACTGTAAAAATGAGAAACAGCCAACTCCTTTATCTGAAGCCAAACCAGTATCAAATTTTAAAACCATTCCTGTATACTTTCATAGAATTCAGAAATATAAAGCTGATATCCCCATAGAACAGTTTTGCCTGCCAAGATAGAGAATGCGAGAAGTATGATGTACAGATTTGCTAGTAATTTATTTTACAGCACTTTTTAAAAGTGATTAGCTCCCAGTTCTCACCTTTTGTGTGAGGATAGATACATGTGCATTTTCTGTTGGAAGTCTAAAACACCTTTTGCTTCGGTTAGCATCAGTATAATTTTTCAGACTCTTTAGTACGTGCAGTGCCCATCTGCCAAGATGTGAAGCAGAACACCGTCCTTGAACATATGGAGTCCTTTTCTTTAATAATAGTAACTACAAAAGTAACTGTACCTAAGTTGTTTCTATACAAAACAGTATTTAAGCATGAACTTTTAACTTGTTTTGAATCACTATCTTGCAGGAAGTAAATATACATTAATATATGGTTTAACATTTCCAGGGCATGCACACCTTGAAAAAAATGTTTTGAAAGTAATTTTAGTAAGGCACACGTGGAGCTTTCTTAAATCTGAGGGGAGAAAGCTTTGGAGCTGTTAGCGTTTTTAACAGACCAGCAAAACAGTGTCAACAGTGTCTCCCAGCATTGCACAGGTGTTGCTGGTACTGTGAAAACAGCCTGTGCTTTCGGGTCACTGTCCCTTGTGCTGGTTCCTACATCTGGCTATATGAATTGAGCTATATGAATTTAGCAGTTATATTAAAGATCCTACCATGTTATAATATTCAGGAATTGCCTTTTTTCCCCCACTCTAAGGCTACCTCCAGCAGTGAAGATGGTTTTGATCCCAATATGTTAATATAGCTTCAATGCTTGTTCTTTCTAAATGTATTTATTATTAATTTTATTATTAAACAATGATTATTTTTAATTATGCTAGCATGATGCCCATCTACTACATGAAAGCAAGTTTTCTTTTTAAAAAAGGCTTGAAAGCTCTACAGTGAGTTCTTTTAAAACTTTGTAGAGGAAAATAAATGTGCATTTATCGAGAACGTGTCTCTGATTTCTCAAGGCAGTGCAGGAGCTGCTGCATAAGCTACCCTAATCCTCAGGCAAATTTGTAGCTCCTAATTTGTCATCCTTCAACCCTCAGTGAAGTGTTGTCTTCAGACATCCGTGTGGTTAGCTGACATGCTCTCCCCTTGCACGTTGACTTAAGGGGATGGCAAGAAAAATTTGTTCTGGAGGGGGAAAGTTCCTTAATATTCAAGGAGGTTTCTGTTATCAGCAGGTGCCAGTTTTAGTACCTAAAGAGGGAAAGCAGGACAGATGCTGGTCACTAATGCATTTTGAAATAAGCTCTGTTGTAAATCACCAGCCAAACTCAAAAAACTAATCAGAGTGTTTAAAAATGAACAAAAAAAAAAGAGTAAAGCGCTCAGCTCAATGATTTTAACACCTATGTGATCAGAAAATGAGTAGTGCTAAGTCTTGTGTGGGCAGCAGTCCTGAATATGCCCTCAAGATATGCGAGGACCTTTCTATCCTTCCATGACTATTGGGAAGTCTTAGCACTTTAGCCTGATTGCACACATCCCCGTCAAATTTGCCAGTCCAGAGCAGAAATCACAACTGGGAAATAGATCAGGTTACTGGAAATCGGATGTGGTGATAGCATCATCTGTGGTAATTTAGAAAGTTATGAAAGATGACCTTTTGTTTTGAACGGCATTCGCTTTTATCAGGCAGTATGAAGTGTTTTGGTTGGCTATATCCAGTTGTCTTGAAACCCGTGAAGTACAAGGTAGCTGCAGAAGGCTTGAAGGCAAAACTATTGGAAATAGCATAAATCTGGTTATTAATGTATTGGACTGATTTTCAGAAAAAAACCTAGGTGTCATACCGAACCTGCTGAGCTGGGCATTTCTGCTGTTCAGAGAGAGCCTAGAAAAAAAGCAGTGAAAATATATAGAAGATTATGCTTTTTGACTGACTGCCGGTAGTAGTTTTGGGGCATATAGATGCTTCCTTTATTACTGAGATGAGATTTATTGAAGAGAGCTTTATCTGATCATTCTTATTCTTGCCTGTAAGTTTCTCTTAGTATGTAAACCAACCTTATGTGCTGACTGGGGTTTGGAGGAGGAAAAAAAAAAAAAATCCCCCAAGCAGGTATCTCCAGCAGCCAGAGTGCTGCGTTTCAGTGACTTTTAGACCTGCAGAACAGCTGAAGAGAAAGCAATCTTCTCTGAGAAGCTGAATTTTCAAACAATCTGTGAAATGACTGCCATTTGCTCAACATCTTATAACATGTCAATGATTGTGCTGGACCCCAGAATGTCACTGTTGTTCCATGTTCGCCATGAGTGACTGTAAAATTCTTCCGTGATTCAGCGCTTTAGAGTTGGATGTTGTACTTCTTGATGGCAAACATCTTTTAGGTAGTGTGATTTTTTTTAATCAGTAAAAAATAAGGCAGACTTGTTTTTGTTTTTGTTTTTACTATTAAAACCTTCATTTCTAACCTGTTTCATTCTGACCAGAAATCCTTAGTGTGACCATATGAGTGCCACCCAGCTTTCTTTTAACAGAATGTTTCTGCTTACAGCAATTGGGGGTGGGGGGGCAAGAAAGGAAAAGTATGAAATTTGTGCTGATTCCAACAGTCTTCTAGGTTGAGGAAAAACTGCTGGAGTAACTTCAGGTACATGGAAAGCTGGTTATTTTGCTAAAGCAAACATGATACAAAACCTTTTTCCAGTGGATTCTGGGAGTGTTGAAATATCTAACGTAATGACACTGAAAATGAGCGCTGAACTATTTCGCAGCTTAAAATCTTGTATTGCATTTGGGGAATAAAGTGAAGATAACCTGGTGTCCTGGTAAAACTGCAATATTTGATTCCTGTTCCTTACTGGAGACGTAAACTGGCTGCAAACGTCACAATTGGGTCAGGAGAAAGCCAAAGTTGTCCCCCCAGCTGACCTAAATGGGAGTTGGCTGTAGTAAATGGTTTGGGACGGCTGCTGTGTTAGCATCATAGTATAGAAAACCTTGTCTGAAATACTTTGATAGCAGTACCTTCTTGCAGCAATATTGGTTGTAGTAGCACAGCCCTGAATTTTACGTTTGATTTAGATAAGCAGGCTACAGTTCAGGAGCTTGTTCAAATATTGGATTGAAAATCATTGAGAACAGAGGTGCTCAATATTTCAAGCATACTGCAGATACCAGAGATCAAGCCTTTTCTACAGTATTGAGGCGTGTGATCCTCCCAGATGTGTTAGCCACAAAGATCTGGAAGAACAAAAATTCAAACAAGTTCTAAAGCAAAGCTCTTATTAAACTTCAGCCCAAAGAGCTCAATTTTCTTTGGTTATTTCTTGTCTGAATTGAACTGCTCCTCTAACTGAAGCACCAAGAAGACATTCAGAGCATCCTGAATTTAAGGAACTTCACTCCAAGAAAGGAAGCATGAGGTTTCTGAAGGCGCGAACAATATCAGCCTTCTAGTCTCTATGCACGTTCCTTAAGGTAGCTTCAGAGAAACACTCGCGTTTGCCTTAAAAACAACCAAAGAACCTGTATATATTCCATAATGGGAATTGGATTGGATTTGGATATTCTGACAGTGTTGTGTGAAAGTATGGGAAGAATCATAATGGGATCAAAGTATCGTTGCAGCAACGCTGTTCTGTCAGAGCAGGTGCTTCTCTGACCCTGGGAATATGGCTGCAGTGGTGCAGTCGGCATAGAGCTTAGCACCAAAAGGTAACAGATGTTATTTGCTTTCATCGACATTTTGGCTCCGCTTTTCTGTGGGTAGTGGTCCCATGTTACTGCCAGTGATGAGCAGAAAAGAGTGCGTGCAGATAATAAACTGTAGGAAAGAATGAGGTAAGCAGCAGATTCCCTATAATAGATTTGAGAAATAGCTTTGGAGATAATACTAAAGGAGCAACATTTTCTGGTGCAGAGCCCTGATAGCCAAGATAGAACCAGCATTAAAATACAGATTTATCACTGTTATTCAGCTTTGACACTGGTGGGCACATACTTCTTCAGTTTATTTTTCTGTAAAATGGAAGCTATATTTGTTTCTGTTATGAGTTTGAAGACTAGTATTTGTACAAATGCTCTGAATGTTGAAGTTTTCTAGAAGGGCTAAGTGTGATTAGCCTTTAATGTAGTGTTACAGGACCGCTTCGATAGGTTGCTGATAACGTAGCAACTTCTGTTTGGTTCTAGACCGGAACTTGTATTCCTGAGTGTTGAAATACAGTTTCAAAATATGTGTTAATTAGAGGCTTGTAAGTGGGTGAGAGCCTTCCCTATCTTGCCTTCCCAGCAGTTCTTCTTGATCCTTCTAAAGTTAACTTTAATGCCAAAAAAAATCACCAAATAGACAACTGATGCTTTTAGGCCCTAAATTTAAAGCTTGCGTTAAAGAAAAGCAGTAGGCTCTTAAAAACGAATCCAGGTAGTTAGTGAAGACTAGGTACAAAACCACCTTACTGCACCCGTGGCGTGGCTTGGATTGGTTTCTGTGCAGCACTTTCTATCTGGAGGTCTTATGTTAAAATGTGTCTGCTTTCATGTCTCCTCCAGCTGACCTCTTGGAGCTCCAAAAGTTGTCAGTCTCCTCCTTCCCCAAGTTGGCTGCCCGCATCCTTTTAAGTGGATGTTGTTTTCTCGAGAGATGGTCGCTCCTGTTCCTGCAGCGAGCAGGACCTGGCTTGTCGTGGCTGTGTCCCACCTGCTGGGAGGCACGAGATGCTCTTGAAGGAGTGCCAGAAGGTTGTCATTTGTTGGCCTAGCCAGCTCTGCCCCATTATATACCAAGATCTTAATCCTCCCATGGTTGTGGTTAAAATGCCTGTTTCTCATTCTGATAATTGCTGAAGCTATATTTGGAGCCTAAAAGACATGACTTTTTTTTTTCTTCAGCTAATGTCTTCAGAAAGAGTGATTGTGTTATTTTGTTGTCCGTTTAAATTACCCAGCAAACCAACTCCCTTTGCCTTTCCCCGTGCTTTTAAAGGAGATGTCATCTCTCCTTGGCCTCAAGGAGACCGCTCTGTGATCAGGCTTGGGTTCCTGGGTCCTTGACGAGTGGAGCTTGAGCGAGCCAAAGAACTGAATCCCTCAAGCTCTTGGAGCAACTGTGGCAGCTTCCTGCTTGCTGAACCACTGTCCGAAGCAGCACCACCGTTGTTATCAGCCTTCTCCTTTAGGCTGATTGCAAGTGGGTTTGTGAAGGGAATAGCATTTTTCAGGCTGTTTCCAAGGAACAGGCTCGATCGGTTCTTTGCTAGCTCCCAAGCTGCTTTCTTTCCCCAGGAGATAATTCCCCTGTGTCACTACTTGTAGCTTTTACAGTCTTGC